TAATAAAGGCAATCTATTTATTTTGTAAGCATTGGAACAATCTATTTTTACTTTCACAGATTTGGGGCTTATTTCTGTATTTACACTGCTATTTTGTGTGTTTTTTTTTTATATAAGTAAAGGAAAATGGCAGCAAAGTGTATTTCCTTTGACCTGTCCATTAACCATTTATACAAGATTGAAAACATGTTTTCTACTCTTTTTTCCACTTTTTTCTCTATATCTTTAAGAATTCCACGTACACCAGTCAAATGGCAATGAATTAAATGCCTTCAGTCACTTGATGGGAAAGTCACTTGATGGGAAATCAGGACCAGTGTAGGAAGAGGGTGTTCTTAGACAAGGGGTCAGAGCTGTTTGTTTGTGTTTTTGTTTGTTTGTGTTTTTGTTTGTTTGGTGCCAAGGGCTATTTTTATCCATTCATGTTCATGGAGAGTGGACTTTTAAAAAGAATTTTAACAGATTTCCATTTCAATGATTATTAATGCATTATCTAATTTGGCCATATTTCCTGATTTTTTTTTAAAGGAAAGGATTGGATATGGGCTGATGACACCTTTCCCGAGTATGATTCTGAGATGCTTGGTTGACAAAGTCCCTGTGGTGAAAGAGCTAGCCAAATTAGAAAACAAAAAGTCAAATCAATTGTTGGCTCTGAATTTATTGGTCAGTGTAATAGCTCTGCACAAAGACGGCCTGATTTTGGTATCTACATTATACAGACAGTACTTGAACCACTGTGCTTGGTGCTATCGGTGGTTGATGCTTTTATTCTCCCATTAGCACCAATAAGGAGAAATTTTACTGCAGCATTTTGAATAATTACAAGAGAAAGTAGATCTTTATTATTTCATCTAAAACAACAATGGAATATAGGACATTAAGGATTTTTTTGGGATACCTTTTCCACAAATTATCTGCCTACTTAAATACAAAGTGTTTAACATCTACGAAGGTGACAACTTATTTTAAGTTTAAAGGGTTTACTAATTAATTGCAGAACTAGTTTTCAAGTATTTGCATTTAAATGAAATTTCAAATAGCCCTTTCCCCACATAGTTATCAAGGTAAAAGGATATATTAGATATCAAGATTTCTTTGAACTTTCTAAGAGTTTTCATTATTGATATCTTAGATTAATTTTCAGAGACTCTTTATCTTTAACTTTGTAGGGAGAGTTTGAGTAATGGAACTTTCTGTCTTCTCCCTTTGTTTCCATCATGTTTGCTTCATGCCCTCAGATAACAATAATGGGATCTTTCTCATGATTTAGCGCCTTTTGACATTTGCGTTGTAGAACTCATTTCCTGGGTTTAGTTATTCTAGATTTCTCTCCTGATGATATTTATCTGGACTTGCCCCCCTGTGCTTGACTGCTACTGAGACATGTTCTAGTACATTCACATATACTTTGCTAAGCTTATTGTCATGAAGTTAATTTAGGAATTGTTATACTCTTAAAAATAAGGAAGAAAAAACATCACAGTCACCTCCTATCACGACTGAGGATGGCCAATTCAAAGTTCCTGGATGAAATGAGAGGAGGCACCCAAATACTTCAGTCTAATCCGGTTTCCCTTTCCCTTCTCCAGGCAGGCCAGTGTGTGAATAACAGTTCTTATTTAGGGATTTTCAATTTGTTAACATGAAAAAATTTATGAAACAGTTTGAAACCAAAAGGCTGGTATGGCAGACTATCATTTAAAATATATATATTGATTTCAGAGAGGAAGGGAGAAGGAGAGAGAGATGGAAACATCTATGATTAAGAGATAATCATTGACTAGCTGGCTGCCTCCTGCACACCTCCTACTGGGGGTGGAGCCCGCATCCCAGGCTTGTGCCCTTGACTGGAATGAAATAGGGACCCTTCAGTCCACAGGCCAATGCTCTAGTCTAGCCACTGAGTCAAACCAGCTAGGGTGAGTCTGGTATTTTAATATAGCCAGTGTGGGCAATAAGAAGCAAACATTTTCCTTCATAAAAAAAAAAGCAATGTAACATTGTCAGGTGATATGCAAATGTGGTTCTGCTACCCCTTCCTGCTCTGAAGATTTCCGGACGGCTGCCATGGATTGCTTCTCAGAGTCTTTTCACTGTGATAATGGTTTAAAGGAGACAGTTTGTTGCAACGATAACCATGTAAATGGAATATTATTATCTCATTGCAGATAATGTTTTTAAGGAGTGACTCAGAATGGTAGTTTGATGATTATGGAAGGGAGTTTCTTCTCGAACTGAAAAAGGAAAGATTAAAATAGTCACAAAGCCTGAAACTGGGCATATTTTATGATGGATATTTATTTTAATTCAATGCAATACATATTCATGGGCATATACTGCAGCAAATACTTAATAAAAATTCATTGGAATTCACACGTAGCTATACTGTAATTGGACATATCCATTAAAAATGCCTTTATTTTGATTTAACATTTTTTTTTATTTTCTTTTTTTGTATTTGTTGCCTATAGTTGGTGGGGTGGCGCAGAATGGGGTGTGGTTGAACAAGGGTGGTATGTATTAAGCCACATAGTAGTTACAACAATGATTAACAGTTGTTGAGTACTTACTGAGTGCCAGTGACTGCTAGGAGCTTTAAAAGTCATTATTTAGTCCTCTTAAGAGCCATATAGGTTAGGTAATATTATCTCCCTTATATGAGATCTTTAATTCCTCCTTTTTGTTTGTTTCTATCCCATTCCATCTCCCCTCCCCCAATTTCTTCTAGTTTCTGGGACAGAGATCTAAATTCTTTAGTGATTTATGATAATACCAGAGCTGAGAACTGCTTAGTGTCATCACCAACTTACTTTCAATAGGAAAAAAGCTAACCCATGTCAAAAGGCTGGAAATTGGTTTTGTGTCTGAGATGATGGTGCTCAGGTCACTGATAAGGAAACCTACCCCGTGGTGCAGTCTGTCTTCCTTTGGAGATATCCTCTCTTTCTGGACAGAAGTATGGACAGAAATCTTTCCTGTTGTCATGGTGACACTTCTTCCCTGACAGGATGTCAGTCATTCCAAGCATGTTTCATTTGTTCTGAATGTTCTCTGTTTAGATAATAACTAGCTGGATAATCCCTTGATACAATTCTGAACTTCAGAGATAAACTGGCTTTTTCAAAAGTAGTGCATCCTACCTTCTGTCTACAGCCATTGAATCCTAGCCTATATTTTCTGATTCATTCATTCAATTAATAAATATTGCATATTTATTTTCCATCACTGTGAACTTGAACATTTTATATTAAAATAACTAACATACTGTGCTGGGATGGTGCTCTGTGCTTTTCTTCCCATTGTGATCTCCAGTGCTCACAAGAAACAGGCAAGTGAGTGTTGGCTCCATTCTACAGAGGAAGAAAACCATGTTCACAAAGGTGAAATATCTTGTTCACGTCACCCACGTAATAGGTAGTGGGCAGGATCTGAGCCAGAAATCTAACTCTATAGCTCATGCTTTAATTATAAATCTTTTTTTTATTCACATGATTCAGTTTTTGTATAACTTAAGAAACTGAGCAAAGTTCTGAACTGCAAGAGCTAAGCCAGATATTTATGATTGTTGGTACCATTAAAATAATGACTGTTTTAGCTAAAAGTGAACTTGTTATTTTTAAAAAAATTACTTGATGGCTCTATACATGCAGCCATCAGGTTTTTTCTCACTTGGGCTAGCCTACTTTTGGATTATATTCACCAATTAGAGTTACATACTAGCAGATCTGCATACAGCTGTTATGATATAATTGCTTTGTTAATAATAAAGCAAAAAATAATTTCAATAGTGAACCTGGCAGGTTGCAACCTGAGTTTTCTTTTGCTCTGATTCTATTAAGATGCCACTCTCAGTATTTAGGGAAAATTTGTTTGAAATTACATCACAGTGATAATCAATGAGGTTATTTTACTAACATAAGGGCTACCTACACTTGGTAAAAAAAAAAAAAGACCTCATTTTAATGAGATGCAGTGGAAGATTTCAGTAACAGGTGGTTGGTTATTGCGTAGCGAACTGGGGTAATTTTTGGAAATTATTTAATAATTTGGTAGAGTTTCTGCTTCATGGGAGAAGATAACAGTTTTGTAAACAAAATAGAACTCAGGTTACTTGTTATTAGAGACATTTAACTTGCTCAGATACACACATGGATCATTTAATAAACTCAAACAAATACTGAAAATATCTGGTCAAATTGCAGATGGGCATAGTGTAGACACACAGTAAATACTCGTTAACATGTCATGAAATGGCCCTAGATAGCTCATAGGAATTACCACCCTCCTCCCCCAACTACACAGTTATTTCTAAACAAAGGAGGAGAAAGTTAACAACCTAATAACTTAAGGTTTTTATTGCTCCCAGGGTAAATTTAACTGAACATAGATGATCTGATTGATAGTGGTAGTTTTATAAAGAATATCAGGGAAATGGTTTTAATGTTATAGGCAAGGTAAATTCCTGTCATTTTTACTTGACTCTAGCTATCTACCAGGCTCATTGCTAACTTCAGGTTTTGTCCAACTTGTTTATGTGACATAGCTCAGTGTAATATGGGGAATTGCAGGTTATTTGAAAATAATGACAAAGAAAACCCAAATGAGAAACTCCATTCTATAATTAGTTTTCCCAAAAGTCAGGCATGTCTTTGAAGACAAGCTTTTGGCTATATTATTTTTGTGCACAGGAGAAAAAATTG